GTTATAAAAAAAATAAAAATTTTTTCAGGAATCACGGGTTGATAACAAGTGGATTTTACGCCTGACAGAACTTAAATCTCGTATTTCGTGGTTTATTTTGAGAAGCGTGAAAACAACAAAAAAGAAATGTAATTGCTTTTTATATCAATAGACGTGAGTTTTTCATTTAACACAAATAGCAGTAAACTTTTTCAACTAAAATAAAAACACATCATATTTTAGAATACTTATAGTATTATTTACTTTCTTCACAATAATCCCCTTTATAGCCAGGAAAACATCGACAAGTTCCGTCTGCGCAGTCTCCGTGTCCACTGCAATCTGCAACCTCACATTCATCTTCCCTTAGCTGACACTCTTTTCCTTTCCATCCAGGATTACATATACATTCTCCAGAAACATATTGACCTCTGCCGCTACAGAGAACCGGACACACCCCTGAAAGAACAGAAAGACTCTATGAATACTTTCAATAACACGATGTTCTTCTATTTCACAATAAATAGTTAAAACAGTGCCCAAGATTTTAAAAGAACAGAGATTGTAGTAATAAGATTATATTAGAGGAAATTAGAGTATTTATTTATTGTGTTTCATCTAAATATGTTGTGAAACGTTGTTACCTAATACCATGAAAAATTATCTAAACACAAACTTGAGAAAATGCAATCACACTTTGCAATTGTAAAATAAAGAATGTCAGTAGCTGTCCGACATGTTGACGAGCTTTTCTTCTTGTTAAACCTTTCTCTGTAACCGTTCTTTGTTTTATCACGATCCCATTGCATTCGTATGTTAACTGAAGGTGTTTAGAAATGTTGGTATGACCAAATGACAACACAGAGGTTTACCGTCTGTCGCATTAGTTTGACCTTGGTATGACCCAATAATAACGTAGAAATTCGCTGTCTCTCGCATTGGGTTGACTTTGGTAATACCAATTTATAACACAGAAATTACCCACCTCTCACATTGTGTTAACTTTGGTATGACTAAATAATAACACAGAAATTCCCCGCCTCTCGTATTGGGTTGGCTTTGGTATGACCAAATTATAACACAGAAATTCCCCACCTCTCACATTGTGTTGGCTTTGGCATGACTAAATAATACACGGAATTTCACCATCTCTCTCATTGGGTTGGCTTTGGTATGACCAAATAATAACACAGAAATTTCCCGCCTCTCGCATTGGGTTGGCTTTGGTAATACCAATTTATAACACAGAAATTACCCACCTCTCACATTGTGTTAGCTTTGGTATGACTAAATTATAACACAGAAATTCCCCACCTCTCACATTGTGTTAGCTTTGGCATGACTAAATAATACACGGAATTTCACCGTCTCTTTCATTGTTTTAGCTTTGGTATGACTAAATAATAACACAGAAATTCCCCGCCTCTCACATTGTGTTAGCTTTGGTATGACCAAATAATAACACAGAAATTCCCCGCCTCTCGTATTGGGTTGGCTTTGGTATGACCAAATTATAACACAGAAATTCCCCACCTCTCACATTGTGTTGGCTTTGGCATGACTAAATAATACACGGAATTTCACCGTCTCTCTCATTGGGTTGGCTTTGGTATGACCAAATAATAACACAGAAATTTCCCGCCTCTCGCATTGGGTTGGCTTTGGTAATACCAATTTATAACACAGAAATTCCCCACCTCTCACATTGTGTTAGCTTTGGCATGACTAAATAATACACGGAATTTCACCGTCTCTCTCATTGTGTTAGCTTTGGTATGACTAAATAATAACACAGAAATTCCCCGCCTCTCACATTGTGTTAGCTTTGGTATGACCAAATAATAACACAGAAATTCCCCGCCTCTCGCATTGAGTTGGTTTTGGTATGACCAAATTATAACACAGAAGTTCACCGTCTCTCGCAATGGGTGTAAGAAGATGTTTGGAGAACCACAACTAAATTAAAAGCTTTTCTGAACTTGGATTAAAAAACGTGAAAAAAAATGAATTTCTGTTTTTAACAAAATTAGTGCACTATTTCAAAAAACAATCGACGATAAAACATACTTAACACTGAAAAATGTTACAGATGGACTTACTATAAGCACAGGAGTCTCCTGCGTAATCTGGCTCACAAGCACATGTGCCCATGTCGCACGTTCCATGACCGTGGCAGTCATAGGGACAGGGTAGGCTTGATTGATCTAGGATATATATATATCAAGTAAGAAAACAGTAATTATCCCAGAAAGACTCGTATGTTTGATTTTTATTTTGTCAACGTATAGGCTTGAAAACAATCTTTATATAAGGGTTTTTAGGTACTTTATTCTCTTTTAAAATATATTTGTAAATGTTAAGTACTACTAGAGCTGAGCATTAGAGAGCAATTGGATTTACCGTAAAGTAGACTTAATTTGTAATGTAAATAGGAATATCATATTATTTTTAATACTTGTGTGAAAATAAAAAGCATTTGACTTATAAATAATTTTGCAAAATAAACTTTATCTAAAATTAATCATAACCATTCGGTTATGAAACATTATCGTACGTTTCATAAATCTCTGTTACGTATCAAATCAAAATACAAATAACTTAAGTGACAATATGGAAAAAACTGTAAGGAAATAAAATATTAAAATACTTTTAGAAATGGCTTAAAAATTAATTTTTTGCATCATATTCTTCCGTTAATATAGGCATGTAGTTTTCCATGTTTGAAAAATACAAAACGTTAACAACTAGCTGTAACACTACTAACAAGAGAAGATTGAAGTCTGAAAAAAATAACCCTTGGGAAAAATGTGGCAACAGGAAACACAGCTTTGAAATTACATGTGCATATTTGGGGTATGTTACGTCTTAACTTGTAAGGTCAATGACTGCGAATCTGAATAAAAACAAGCCATAAGATTTCAGGGAGTTGCTTTTCTGTAACTTGTAGAATTTATTGTGAGTCAAAGATTCCTCTTTTCTTAAAAGATAGAAAATGTCTAGTGAACGCTCACGTTAAATATTTGTCCAGCAATTAGATATAAACTCTTCGTGACCGAAACAATTGCTGCTTTAAACATTAATAACTAAAAAATTAAGTTAAAAGTGGAAAAGATAAAGAAAATATTAGACTACGCTACACTTTAAGTTAATTTAATTTAATTGGTATCCTCAATTTCTTAAGTCTTTAAATTGAAGACTGAAAATTGGTTTTTAAATTAATTATACTAAAGAACAGTACTTTTTGTTACACACATACGTAAAACAACAGTAAAGTCATTGTCTTAGTGTATTTTAGATCTTTGTTAGGCTTGATATCAAAACTACGTGAAACTCCCCGCCCCCTCCAGCAAAAAAGAAAAAATTAATACGTACTTGTTTTATACATGTGTATATGCATCATTTATATTGTCATTTTTTGTGTTTATTGGACTTTTAGGTATTAAGTTAACAACTTACAAAACAATTAAAAAATATATCTGTTTCGTATTATTCATGTTTTCTAGTATGTGGTTATTTTAATATCTTTCATATTGTCGATGGTATTTAGTAGTGTTTAAATCCTTAATCTCTACTTTTGGGTCCAGACGCATTCAACGTGTAAGTGTTTTGTGTATATATATATGTTAAAGACTGGATATATTAATGGTGTATTTATATGTCTTTTACTCACACAATGATCCTATATTTTATAGGAATTTAAAGAATTTGTAATAAAAATATCTGAAAATAAGATGTGCATAATATACACGCCAACAATATATGAAGCTTAGTTTTATCTTAAGATTTGCTCTTATCCAGGATTACTGATGAGGGGTGGAATTCCCTGAAACCGGTATAACTCAGCGACAAATGGTAACTCGAATTATAGATCGGATTGCTAGGTATTATTTATTTCAAAATTATCATTTTAGTTATGAATAAATACTTTTGTTCATTGATTAGTTTAATTCCGTAAGTGTAGAGAACTAATGGGGATGTTTCAAAGCTAGTAACTGGCGTTGAAGATTATGAAGTCTAAGTTGTAACTCACTCAAGGATATGTTCAAAAAGCTTCCGCATATCTCTCAATTGTGAGTTCATATTTGCTTACTGAAACCTATATTTACTTCTTTGTTTGTTTCATTGTGACGTAATTCTATGTTTCTTGACTCTCAGCTTTACGTATATTCATATATTGTTGTTACTGTAGTCCAGGAACTTTTAGCAACTATCCTGGTTTTACACTTTTATATGTGTTTTATTAAATGTTTCTTTTAGGTTTTGTGATACTCTGAAGTGAGCTTTAAAACAGTTCCTCTTTCGAGATGTATTTTGCTGAAATTATACAGAAAGCATTGATGATAAAATGCTTGATTTTATGCATTTAAAGCCTTTTCCTTCTGTACATATATGTGTCTGTTACAACAGCAATAAACTTGTATAAATTATCCAATTATTTATCTTGTTGTTAATAAAAAAAATTGTGAATTTAGCAAAAAAAATGTAATCAATATAGGACCATTGTGCAAGTGAAAGATATATCAATGCACCATTGATACCTTTAATCCTTCACGTTTTTAAACAACATACATTACTTCCTTTGACATGAATTTTTACTTCAACTTATACATTCTGATTTTCAACATACATTTCTTCATATTACATCAATAGCTCATTCTCCATTGCTCTTAGGTTCTTAATTGTAATTGCTGAATACAAGTTTCAAATTCTCTTTCTTCTAAAACAACCTAATTCTGCTATTCACTTAATTGTATACAAATTTTGCTTTGCCTGCATGAATACATATTCTAGAGTATTATAAGGATTTTAATACCCTCTGTAAGTATACAAATATTCTAAATTTATTAAGAGACAAGTATCTAATGCTTACTTGATCTCTGAAATAATATGGTAATAATAACAAAGTATTAAAATATGTGCAATTGAAGTGAAACCTCTATTAATGGCAATACAAATTATACTCTTTTAAATGATAAATAACATGCATTCTTATTAGTTAGAAACATTATTTTATATCACAATTAGTTGGTGTCAGGTTAATAAGTTCATTATTACTAAATAAGAAATCTAAGTATCAATAGAGATGGATTGGTTTTAAAATATTTATGTTTTTTTGAACACTTTTCTTCCAATAACAAATGGCAATTTTCTTATCAAATTCAATAGTATTTTTACTCAACTTAAGGCCTGATGCGATATATTTATTTATTTCATCTTGTATTCGATATTGTAAAAATATCATAGAAAAATTTTCACCTCATTATAAATAAAATTCAACTTATCCTCTTCCTTCCAGAGTTATTACCATAGTAACAAATGAAAAATTTCATATCAAATTCAATTGTTTTTTTTTGTGCGTGTTTTCTAACATTTTGCAATTTAAAACCCGGTGCTATACATTATGTCTTTTACTCTAGGTTGTAGAAGAAGAAAAAAAAACATGGAACAATGGTTTTCATGTCATCATCAACAGAATCTGTCATACGAACATCAAGAATTAATAGCAAAAGACTAATCAATTGTTATTCAGAAAAAATAATTTGATTAATTCATAATGATATTTTTTGTCCTTGTGGCATATGTAACTATTGTACTTAAATAAAAAATAAAGCTTCATATAATATGAATTTTAAGTTTTTCAAGTTGTTTTATGTGAAAATATCAAATGCTCAAATAATCTAAGTATCAATTAATGACACAATAAGGAAAAATTATTATTATGGGAGAAATACATAGTACAAAAAAAATAAGAGAGTGATTGAAGTTAATTCATTTAGATGGATTTCAAAGAAACACATATCAGATACACATATTATTACACAGTTAAGAAACAGTTTCTTGTTTTAATAGGCTTTGTCAACCACAAAAAGTCACTTTTATAAAGACATTTGTTGTTTTCCACTTTAATGTGATTATAGTTATGCATGCTTTAGTATTTCACTATTTTTTTTATAATTTTTTAGAGTTGCAAAATGATTATATTGTGGAAATGTAAATCATTACTTCCTTTTCAAGTAATAAGTTATATTTTTACAATACTTTTCAAGACCTGCAATTCATAAGCCATTGACATAACTAGTAGAACTAAATACTAAATTAATAGTGTCATAAAATATAATTTCCATTTTGTTGTTATTATAATACTTAATATACGTTTTCCAAGTGGATTCACAAACAAATTAAAGAATTATCTATACTGTTTGCAAAAATGTGATTGTCAAATAACAAAACCAATCGTATTGTAGAGAAAAGCTTCATTCAAGACTTAAAAACACGTACAAAAATTGCAAGTTTTTTTTAGTATCTACCTATGTGTAAGTTTGTATACTAATCTATCCATTCGTCTATTGTGTTTAAATTCTGGCAGTCCCCCGATGGGACAGCAGTAAATCCACGTACTTACAACGCTAAAATTCGAAGTTTGATCGCACTTGGTGAATACAGCAGATAGTCCATTTTTGCTTTGCCCTAAAACAGACTGATAATAATACTATAAAAAGAGTAAAAATAAAAACTTCCAGTTCACGGCAAAAATAATTTTTGCCGAGGTTTTTCATCTACACAGTAATATATATACATACACACACACACATTTTTTCTTTACTGTTACGTGAAATGTTTAATTAAATGTTTGGCATAACTTGAAGTTTACCACGAGCTACTAAACTTAAAATCCCTTGGAAAATGGTAGGAGACAGATTGAATGACATGTATTTACTAAAAATTGTTACTTTAGGCAGATAAATTACCTTAATTATGTTTACTGCACTAAATGAATATGCGATGTACTTTGTTAATAAAGACTTAAAATATAAGTTTATGCCAAGAAGAGAACAAAAACGATATCATTATTCTTAAAAGGAGATTAATATTTTAAACGATTCGTCAGAGACATCCGAGGGGACTAATTGAAATCAGTACAGTAACTAATTATGTATGATCACTGAGTTTTAGACTTCTTAGCTTTCAGTATCATTATAACTTATACAATCAGTTCAATAAGCTTAACTCAAGTATTAATGTTTGAATATTAGTCCTATTATATAAAGTTTATATACAACGTATTTGTCATTACTTTTTTTTCCTGTCCTTTGAATATTGGATTACTAACACTGTTTAGTATCAAACTAAATCGATAAAATGTTAATAAAGTTCTTTGTCAAAGCGCTTTGTGCCTAATATATATTATTAATGGTTTATTAAAATACTGAATTGTGTTTTTAACTTTATATTATACAATTAATAGATGCTAGAGGCCGGTTGCAAAGGCTAAGATACTTTATAATTACTTTCTTGATGATAAAAAATGCTTTAAATAAAAAAAAAATTATATTTTAATAGCAACAACTAAAACTAATTTTTAATATTTCTGTATATGTTTATGAATACTTATTGTGTATGTAACTCCTTTATTTAACTCATCTTACTTGTCGGTGGCATTTAAAAAGCGCTTTTTTTTAATTTTTAATTGCATTACTTTATCCGAAGAAGACTGATTGAAGTATGGTGAGTTTAATTTATATATGCGAGTTTTAACAAGGCTTAGCACTATGCTTTTAACGTACCCGGTCAAATTATACCCTAAATGCTAACTTGTTACTCCATGAGTACTATATTCATCCAAACGAACAAATATTTAATACTTGAAATAAGATTTTTTAGATCTTTTTAATTTGTAGGTGCAAAATTGATATACAATATTATTAAACTAAACATTCTATCAAACTGTTATGACATCTTATTCTCTTAATTTAAGAAATATATTTAATAGGCACTTACTATCTTATAAAAGAGCTGATGTAAAATTTAAAAAATACATACACTCATATTATTACTATACTTCCTATGGGGTTACCTGTTATAACGGGCACGAAAGACAAAACCTCTGGATTCTCTCCATCGTTATAAACAGAAATATACCACAATCCAGGGTCAAGAAAGTGAATAAACTCCATGTTGTAAGCTTCCTACATCAAAATAAATAAATAGATAAAAGATCACCGAAGACGGACTTCTAAAATATATTTGTAAGAGACATTTGAGTTTATGGAATATATCGCTTGAAAATAAAATTATATGACTGTTATATTTGTAACATGAAGAAATGCGAAAGCGCTAGTTTGAGTTCGCTTTTGGTAACACATAAAGGCAAATTACGAATTACTGGAGGCGTATCCAGAGGTTAATTAATGCCAGACTATCAAGTGACATCTGTAAGGTATTTTGTTTTTCTACTAAAACAACAATTTAACAAAATCAAAATACGGTGCATTTCTTTGTTTTCTCTCCAGGTAGACATTTATGGACACACAACTAACCAAGAGAGCTTTTATCTTAGAAATGTTTCCATCAAGATATTCTTTTCCCATTTGTATCATAGATCTATATTTTGTATTTCAGTTTTGGCGTTACTAGGTAATGTGATATCACCGAAAATTGATTACTCTGGGGAAAGGTATGTAACAATACGTTCCGACGAAAAAATATTCATATACTCAGACCATAAAAATGTGTTTAGAATTTCGAAAGTGGAGATATCTTATGTAGTTAATGAGATTTAAAAAATTTGGATCAACTTGGAGCACCAAGACTTTCCAATGAGATACTTCAAAAAGTCGTAATTTAGCCGTGGTAAGTAAAATGCGTCATTTTATAACAGTTACGAAGCCATGAACACAAAAATTAGCCCCCCCCCCACAGTGAACTTAAAACGCTAGAAACTGGGTTTCAATACCCGTGGTAGGCAGAGCACAAATAGCTCATTGTGTAGCTTTGTGCTTAATTACAAACAAACAAACACAAAGATTAGTGGCAAAAGCCATTCATGATCCCCAAGTAATAATATGCAACATAATCAAGAAGAATCTCCAACAGGGTATGGCGTCACCAATATAAAGTTTCCAGCCATATCTCCTATTCAATCTTTGTGTAGTTCAAGCAGCTAGAGGATGAGACGGTTAAGTCGCCAGAATATGTTTAGCAGGGAATAAGATTTCTGCGATTTCTACTGAAACGGGCGATAGAAAGCCATCGTCCTTGTACACTAGGTGACTTAAACAATCTAACAGGGAGGTGGTTTTGACATGATAGCCTCATGGCGGATTCTTTTGTAGCGAAAAGTATTCTACTGGGCTATTGTCAAGATGACGGTCGTTAGATAGAACAACAGCAGACATGATGAGATGGACTGTAGCGAAGTATTAATGCTCCAAGATGGACTGTAGCGAAGTATTAATGCTCCAAGATGGACTGTAGCGAAGTATTAATACTCCAAGATGGACTGTAGCGAAGTATTAATACTCCAAGATGGACTGTAGCGAAGTATTAATACTCCAAGATGGACTGTAGCGAAGTATTAATGCTCCAAAATCGTTTTAATATAACGTACGTATACATTTTACTTTATCTTATTTTATTGTTTTTACACTTTCTCATCACGATATAACTCTAAGAGTTTTTTTCTGCACTTTATCTTCAAGTACATTATTTGAAGAAAACAACACTATTTGATAAAAACAATAAACAATTCGAAATAATATGGTGTGTTTACTTAATAAAACGTGTATTCACTAAATTTATGAAGATTCTTATCAATACCACGACAAAAGTAATTAGGCTATACCAAATTAAGAGTGATGACCCAATATTTCATCTGGCAATAAATAGTTCGTAGAATGTAGGGAATTTCACCTCCCTGTATTTTCAATGGTATTATGTGATATTTCATAATAACAATACAATAATTTGATGACCTTGCATAATTCACAAAAGTAATTTTGTAAAATGTATTCCACACATCTTGCACTAGTCTAATCATGGATTCTCCAGTTTCATTCTCTATTAAAACTACTAGAAACTGGAAATTACTCGAACAGTGATGTTTGAACCTGGTTAATACATATTTTGTATACATATAACGTTTAGTGACACAATGAAGAACACATCGGAGTCCTGTTATTCTTGGCCTTATCATCCCATATTTAGAGTTACCTCACTCACATGAATGATGGTCCTTAACGTATTTTCTCATAGCTGTGTCTCTGTTAAAATACAAGTATTCAAGAAAAAGTGCAACCAAACTGTTAAAGATTAAATCCTACGACAGTATTATGTGCGAAAAAATATAGTACTTTATTCTTCATTAACGTGACCGAATTCATTAAATATATGTTTTGTTTAGTAGCAATAGTATGGCATAATTATACAACCTTCCATATATCTGAGGAGTCTGAATAATATTAATCTACTTAATCTGTATTAAGAACGATAAAACTAGATGAATATAAATATCATACAATATAAGTGTCATATGTATACCTTATGATTCAATAATATGACTTATTAGAAGTACGGCAACGCAAGTCATACTGAACACGTATTTGCCAATCTAAACCCAATGTAACATCTTAGAAAACAGCAATGTAGAAACAGTTAAAGATTATTTTAGTATATATATTGAGTTGTGTAGCAAATTTTGCCGCAACATTCAGTGACGTGTTTTTAATGTTTAGGTTTCTTCTGTCTTCTCATAACTAATCAGTATTTGGGAATTGAATAAAACACACTCTCTCTTACACACACGCGCGCGCACAAAACAAATAATCTAAGGGGAAGGCTAGTCGTATCTATGAAATACGTGGATTTCCTACAACATCAATTGATTGTTTATTAGGATTTTAATTCAAAATCTCTCAATTTTGAATGGCGCTCACTGTACAGCTTTTGAGTGGATTATTTATTTTCATTTTTTGACATCCAATTAACATTAGCAACTTTGAAATATCAAGCAATGAGAAAAACATTAATAGAAGAAAAATAAAAGAAGCATTAATTATTCGTGAACTACAACCTAATTTATATCAAAACACAGGTGTCACCCTATACGTTTTCTAAATTGGAACGAGTTTTTCCTTTTTCTTAATTTCGCGCAAAGCTACACGAGGGCTATCTGCGCTAGCTGTCCCTAATTTAGCAGTGTAAGACTAGAGGGAAGGCAGCTAGTCATCACCACCCACCGCCAACTCTTGGGTTACTCTTTTACCAACAAATAGTGGGATTGACCGTCACATTATAACGTCCCCGGGGTAAAAGGGCGAGCATGTTTGGTGTGACGGAAATTCGAACCTGCGACCCGCAGATTGCGAGTCGAACGCCCTAACTACCTGGCCTTGCCGGGGCTAATTGGAACAAAATGCTTGCGCAATATTTCATGAATAGACAATGCTTCTCAACTGGGTGAATGGTTCAGCCAGGACTTATTGAGATAAGAATCAGGGTGAATGAGTATTATTAATTATACAACAAATTCAAGAGCAAAAAAAAAAAGTCATTAATTATTATTATTCATTTTAGTTGTAATTTGATGTATATTCAAGTCATAATAAAGAATTTTGCACTTTAATTTAGTACTGAGGTGAGTGACCTATTGTGACCTATAGGGGTGAATGATATTGGAAAAGGTTGAGTAGGACTGCAGTAGACGACAGTTATCTGATGATGGCCACAGAGTGATCGAAAGGTTGTAATAAAGTTAAACAAAAAATAAAAATACATACTCCACTCAAAAGCTGTACCTCTGGACTTTTATTTATACTTTTGTCGTATTTTAGCACTACTTTTAACAGTTATCTGATGAACAATTTGATTATCGTCGACTTGAAGGAACTTTCGTTGTACCATTAGATATCAGTTAACAAAAACGTAATTACAAAAGCAAATATAACCAAATTTTAGAATTTAATTGAAATATGAATGTAAGCACGTTATTACTTTATTATTTCATAGATTTTTTAAAATTATTTTTCTACTGTATTTTCATACTGAAACTCTGAACGCTTTGTACATCCAATTTCACAAAAAGTAAACTAAAGTCAGTAAGAAAACGTTTATAGATTTCACAAACATGTCAAACAAGTTTATTTCAAAATAGGCGTTTTTAATGAACTTACTTTAAGAGACCGTTCTACTCTCCTGCTTTTGGGACTAAGAATTTCAACAAAATCATATCTCGTGTGAGAAGGAACGCTATTTCTTCTTCCGTAAACACCAATACTTGCGCCAGCGGGAACGGAGAAGTTAAACTTGACCAAAGCAGCTTCTCGTTGATGAAACTGAACATTCCAGTGCCCAAATGACGAAACTTTCCTGGTGTTTCTTCTTCCAAGTCTTACTTCCGAAAATGTGTCACTCTCTGGTGGTATTATTTTGGCTGGTGAAGGTGATATACCTATCGTGATCGTTGAAAATATAATAAACAACCTTGTTCACTCACCTCATCCCCTTTTTCTTACAAATCATAATATATATAATAAAAATAATAATAAAGTAATCACTAAAGTTAATATAAATTGTTATAAGATATTATAATTTGTTTTTAGCAAATGCATTTACTTATTCCACAACATCACTTTCTTCTTAACGACTATAATATGTTTCTATGATTATGAATGCATAGATTTTGCTTCTATTAGAAAGCGTATTTGCTAATATGAAATGGAACTGTGCATTTAGTTTAAAGGGTAAGCGTTTTACAAAAGGAACTTTAGTAATAACCTGGTTGTTATTCATGTAAGAAGGAATCTGGAGAAAACTACTAGAGGATAGCTAAGTTCAGGCCCTTACACTTTGGCCCTATTTTATATTTAGTCAATCATGGAAACAGTTCCAAGCAAGCTGTTAGTAAGCCCACTTGCAGAAATAAATGTTAGTGGCATCCACGATCGGCTCCAACAAGTTGAGAGGGCGCTGCTACAATTGGGTTATTGGACCAGATTCATGAGCATGCAGTCAAGCTAGATGCAGGCCAGGTTTATTTAAAAAGGGCAGTGGGTTTGAGCAGCTATGGTTGCAGGGAACCAAACAGGACATGGTAGGTTGGACTTACCGAATGATGTAGGAGTCACTTCTTTCGCACCTTTAACAGTCATCCTCTCTGTTGTAGTTTCCATCTGAATTGGCAATGTAATTGCTTCGGAAATCTCGGTTGTTCGATTTTCGGCTTCTATATCTGTACCTGTTATGAATGTTGCAGTGTCTATAACTTCAGATGCATTAGCAGTAGTGTTTAATGTCGTTTCCGTGCTTGATTCTATGGAATAATTCAATACTGCAGATAATAACATCTCAGGTTTTGGTAATGGCGTTTCTGAAATAGAGGTATTCTTACCTAAATACTCAGATTTTGTTATCGAACTGTTCTGATGTTTTGAATCATCTGTAGAATTGAAAATCTCTAATTCTTCAGGTAATGACGCATTTATGGTGCCTAAAACAAACGGTACTGGGAGTGGTGTGATTGATTTAGTTAATTCTGTGTAATTTAACTCAGATTCTGATTCTTCTGAGAAAATTAAGATTTCTTGTGAACTTGAAGGTTTTGTAATGGTCTCTGTTTGTTCAGATTTTGCCGTGTTGGCTAGTGGTTTAGGACATGGACAGCATTCTACTGTGTAATATACAGGAGCTTTCTCTGTTGGTTTGGTGATTGGTGATTGTATGGTTTCTCGGCGTATGCCAATGTACGAAGTGCTGAAAGAAGGCACATCTTCCTCTGTTTTGGTAGTTTGTGCAGTAGTAGGAGGTGTCGTTGACACTGGTAAAGGTTTAGAATCTAATTCATTTGGTTTCGTTACCGTTTTAGGAGTGTAAGAAATACTTCCACTTAATCCTCCTGAAGACTTGCCTCCAAATTGTTGCGTCGACTTGGGATTGCGAATGATAAACAAAGGAAGCTTGCCTGAGCCAACAGCTTGTGCATGCTCATGCTCTGGTAACTCTATCAAATTGACAGAGAAATCAGACTTTTTAGGCTCAACAGGATCAGGTGGAAAGGTGAGAGTCTTAATTACATCGGGGTTTTTTAGAACAGTTTGTATTTGGTTACCGGAAGCATTGTAATCAGAATTTGCTGCCCTGGGATTGGCGGCTGCATCATGCTGCAGCGCCTTATTAGCTGATACTTCCATATTCGCTGGTGCTGGAAGAGAGTCATCGTTATTATTTACGCTATGGGCATTACTTTGATCTTTACTAGGAGGGAGATTACTGGTCACAGACAATAGTTCATCAGCTTGTAAGTCTAAGAGACCATAGTCATTCTGGCTTGTTTCATTTTCCTTTGTCTTTTCAAAGGTGGCATCGCCACTGCTTTCATCCACCGAGTCGTCATTTGTGGCAGCAACTGAAGTATCCCCAGGTTCTATTTCAGAAGACTTTCTTTCTTGGGTTACATCGCGTACATTTCTGACTTGGGGACTAGAAAAGAGCCACAATTTACCTTTCTGATCTTGATACGTACTTTTTAACCCTGGTCCCTGTACGACTGAATCCATATCATCCACCATTACTGGGCATGGTTGTCTGTTGGCATATCGTAGGTTCACCACTGTAAATAATTTATATAATATATTGGTTCATTGGCTTTTCATATTTCGTACATAAGACATGCACGTAAGAGTTTTTATGCCATAAAATACGTTTACTTTCAATTAAATATCTTGAAGATGATAAACATTATATTAGGTAAAAAGTAAAAAATGAGCTGCAGCTGTGAGGTCAACAAGTGATGGTTAGATAAGAAAGTATTCCTCTCTACTATGACACTGTTACAACAGAAAGATGAATGTTAATACTTATATAACGTATATATTTATACTAACAGAATCATGCTGATAAGACCAGACTATGTTCCAACAATAGTATATTTTATGAATTACATGACTAGTTACTTAAGTCACATAATAAGGCCTTAATATTTATTTTTACACTCGAATTTAATTAAAAAAATAATAAGTTGTCAGCTTTTTTTTTTATTCTTGGTTTGTCTATTTTGATAAAAAGAATTCCAGAAAGTGTTTTGTTGACTTTATTTTACATTTCTTACAAATTATATGAATGCAAAAAAAAAATATGCCAGTGACATCAGGGATGTATTTTGATAATTATTGTAGTATTTCATTACTGTACAAAACTTTTGTTAGACAAACACATATATGACCCAAAAAGTTTTATTACACCCAATATGAATACAAATTCTCCATAAAGAAGTTCACTGGAACATGAACGCTTATGTATACGAACATCTTGGAGACTACTTACCTATGAAATACGATAAAGCTGTAAGAAGAGCAATCGAAATAAAGATAAAAATCAGAGCTGTACATTTCCAGCTGCAGCGAGATGACAGTGTTTTTCTTAAATGTAATCGGGAATGAGCAAAATGGCTAGACACGGGACGTCGCACGCTGTTACGGACGGGAATAACAGGCACAGGAGCTCTGAAAATAAGATGTCTTACTAGAATATTCTATTCAATGTTTTACTACCAGGAACATTTTATTTCTTTCCTAGCTACTTTCCTTATGGTCAGTAATTCAAAATTATGGGCGACCATACCTGGACCTGCGGAATATTTAACCTAGCTCTTTAACCCATCTACAATAAGGCGACAACCAGATTGAAACTGGTTGTCGGAGAATAATTATAATAATTATAATTACAACCAGTAATAATTATAATGTTCTTCATTTTACTAGAAAGTATTTTGTCAAAGAAGATATATTTGAAAAGCTATCTAATAATCTTATGGTTTCCCCGGTGAGACTGTGGTGAGTTTTGATATTGACAACGCTAAAACTCGGAGTTCGATTTTCTGCGGTGGACACATCAGATAGTCCAATGTGGCGTTGCTCTAAAATCAAACCAACAAACTGATAATAATGCTATAAAAAGAGTAAAAATGAAAATGTCCAGTTCACTCCAAAAATAATTTTTGTTTCTAATTTACACAGTAATATCCGAAACTATTGTGGTGGTCCTTTGGCAGTTTAAAGACAAATAAAGTTTATGTTCGTTATCTATCGTAACTTAGAAACTATTTTGGGCTGTAAATTAATGCATTTTTAACTAAGAGATTTACGAAACCATAAATGAACCTACCATACCAAGCGTTAACACACAACTAGTTAATAAAAAATACCTGCAGTGTGAAAAAAATAAAGTCAGATAAAATCCGAACCTCGTTTTTTTTTTCTCATTAGGATCCCCAAATAACTGAATCCTATTTTGTATTTTAGGCTAGATTCCATAACTTGAGGCAGTATATAATGTAAATTTACACCCAATTGAGGTGGTATAATCTAGTCCGTTGTATAACTTCGACTTCTGAGCTTTAGATGTCATATACAAATTCCAGTGTTACAGCTCACTTACACTCAGTTATTATTAGGGCTACATCTGAAAAAACTGAATATCTGCATTCACAAATGGTGGCATAATAATTGTAGACCAATAACAATAATAATAGACTACCTAACTATGGTAATAGTTAATTATTTCCCCATTAGATGGTGTTATTGACTAAAGTTAATAAAACGCAAAGATTAACCAAGAGACTAGAATACATTGTATCAGATGATGGAGGGTGAAATATCTTTTCTTATTTCTTTAATTTTTTCCAACAGTTTGTAATCAACATACCGCTTTACAATAATGATTAAAACAATGTAATTTAACCCATTTCTGTTTAGTATCGATTATAGTTTAGTTTTCTAGAAACGAACGTAAACAAACCTGAGTTACAAAGCTGCATTATATTATTACCAAAGAAATATAAATAGCTGCTACCAGATTAAAAACACAAGACAAACACACACAAAACGTACTATAAAACATCACTATACTGAAGACTGGATAATAGAGTTGTGTTGACTTTCCGCACAGTCCTCCCTTCTTAGTGCAACAAAATATTTCCAATCAAGCATAAGTCTCATAGAGGTGAAGAAAAATAGATTATTAACTAATTTACTTCATCCTGGAGTTTTAAATTAAATATTTTGTGAAAATAGATTTGTTTGTTTGTGTTCAAACGCAAAGCTAAATAACTAGTTCATCATAGGTGTCGAACACCGAATTTTAGCATACAAGCTCTTAAGCTTACCTCTGATCCAGTGGGGCTATGAAAATAGATTAATTAACATTATAATGTGATTAACTAATTAACGTAAATTATGTATTACATTAATTAGCTTTTCAAATACCATACAAAATCGAAATGTTGATTTTTATTCAAACAAAACATCTTCTTATTCTTGAATAGGTTTATAACCTCGGATAATAATATCGTAGACATCCTTGACGTAAAAATAGAATTGTACAAGTAAAATAGTTTGAGACTGTTGTTTTAGCGCAAAGCTTCACAATGGGCTATCTGCGCTCTGTCTACCGAGGGGAACAGAAAATCCGGATTTTAGATTTGTAAGTCTTTTAAACTTACCGCTGACCCACTAGGAGAGAATAATTTGAGGAAAAAAAGTTCTAACTAAACATTTAGTAATCAGACATCTTGACCTTCATCTTTAAAATATCTGTAAGCTGCTTGATAGGACGTAAGGAAGTGAATGAGAGTGTTCCTATGTACATTTTCCTTCACTAGAGAAATTTACCCTCAAATGTAGTGATAAACGTTTTTGCATAAACTTACACCTACACACATTTGCACATTAAAATGACAAAGGTACACACATTCAGAACCTTTCTAGCTGCATAACAGTTCTATGAAAATTATACATTCATTAATAATTAGTAAGTGAAAGCTGCAACGGTGTTACTTAAAGTGAACCTCAGCCTTACAAGGTTCATTAATTTTTTTTTTTTTTACACATTCTTTAATAAGTTATATGTCTAGATGTTAACTAATTTTTTTTAATTGTAATACAATCAAAGTAACTAATTTTGAGTTGAGAATCTGTTTATCTTACACACATAAAAGACAAACCTTACGTCTGTGATACATGGATAAATGTCTGGCTCAAACAGTACTCCAGAATTTTATGTGAGCATGCACACAAATACCACTATCGTTGAAAAGAACTTATCCGTGGAGATCAATTGTATTCACTTTCGAGCAGTAGACCAGGAACGAGTTATTTCTTTCAGCGAAGAGTTTTGATAACTTTAGCCATCACAGTTGCAACAGTAAATTTTACTGATATATTGTGCAGTACTCGCTGGTTTACATCCTGCCTGTGCCTTCTCTTTCATTGCTAATATCGATTTTCTCAGTCACTTGCTCTCATCATCTGTCCCGCAATAAAATGTATGCCTGAACGTTTTCCCTTAGAAGTTACTTCAATACTTCAAACTCACGAGTGTTCAGGAAACTCTTTCTCCTAGATGGTGTGCTTAATCTTTAACGTGTGTTGGAGTATTTTGCAACTGGTTTTATTTGTGTAATCGTAGAATAACTTCCCATTGTCGTTATATTTCAATTCCAATATAAAAATTTATCCAATTAAAAATACTTGGATTTCTGAGTTTTGTTATTAGTGAGCGTACGCTTTAGAAGTTTACCTAATCAATCTATTATTTGCATATAAACAAAGGCTTAACTCTAAGCTCTACAAAATTCATTTAAAGAGGCATACTTATAACAATTTTCCTATTAAAATTATTGGTTCAAGTAGTAAGCTATTTGTGAATTGTGGTATACTATTCATTGAAAAAGTTTTCATCTAAAATGCTTAATCTGCTTAGATATATTTCCACAACATTTTTAACTAAAATGCAAATTTGATTTTGAGTAGGATTATAATAAGAGTCAAAATTTAACCCAGCACCAATTTAAAATGAAGCTAAACAAAACATGTATAGATTATTAAATTATATTATTCACATAATGTATTGTTTAAATTATTATGTGCACTTTTATTTGATTATACCAAATACAAACCAAACTTTGATTATTCCAGAGTTAAGTAGTTCTTTGACCAACCATTTTTGTTATATCAGTGCACTTCCAAAACAATCTTCATATCAGATTTAATTAAGAACGCATGCACATCTAGCCTTAAATATTAAAACAATTAAATAAATTGTCCATCCCACTTGTTAGTCCGAAACGTGCCTAATTGTTAAAACTTCATTTCGCTGAAATAAAGTCATGTTATAAAGTTTTAGCAATACACATACATACATGTATTTATGTGATAAGAAACACATTATTCCGCATAAGCCTTTCAAAACCTTGGGTTACTTCACCACGTTTACGCGAAAAATGAAGGACGATAAGACTACCACTGCGTGATGGGAGTCATTGAAGTCGTATTGGAAGAGATAAAAATAGTGTTCTAATATTCGACTTTTGTATTTACGTGCCTTGCCTTTCCGAGAAACTATATAACTGATATAAAAGTTATATTTATGTCATTACAAAATGAGGACCAAATTACTTTACTTTCTATTCTCGCTCTGATAACAAAATGATGCTCACAAAATGTGACTAGAAAATTTAGCATTTTACTGCATGGTTTATGACATCATATCAGGGTTTTGTTGTTGTCTCAGTACACGCAATACGAAGAGAACATGATTCTCAAAAGTCCAATAAGTCCCTTTATTATAGGCCAGGTGTTTGTATGATACGTGCTTTTGTAATATTTAATTTTAGGCTAATGGATGAAGCGAATGGAAAAGCCTTGTTGAACTGATAAGCCGATAACCTATCCAGCCAATGCCCCTGCACTTTCTAGGCTTTTGATCGCTTGCTACGTTCACGGAAGCGAAAAAAGGGTGGGGACGGAGTCTTCCTGTCGCTATTGATATTCATCAAAAGGTCACTTAATGAAGTTTTCGCATGACAACTACTCTCAAGGACTTTCCGATTTAAATCCTTGGCTATAAAGGTTTAAAACGTCGAAAATAATGAGATCAAGCATTGGCAACATAAACCCTGATATATACATATGTGTGTGTGTGTGTAGAATGTCGGAAATAAATTAAAAGATTAACAGAACATTTCAAATTCTAATTGTTTTCACATTTCCATTTCATTAATTCTGATTCTGAATTTGTTTCGTTATGTTTGTTTGTTTGAAATTAAGCACTAAGCTACCCAATGGACTATCTGTGCTCTGCCCACCACGAATATCGAAACCCGGTTTCTAGCGTTGTGAGTCCGCAGACGTACCACTGTGCCATTGGGGAGTTTTTCCTTATGTATAATATTTACCAAGATGCGCGTAGAATATAAAATAATATTACGGAAATTTTTGAGATAATTTACAACTTAGCTACAAAATATATAAAGCTACATAAAGAATAATATATTCAAAACAAATTCATGTTCAAATGATAATTTGTCTATTTTCTATTTTCCTTTTTCTCCCTGGTTGTCCGTTTTTGTTTTTATTTCAAGTTCATTGGGTAGAGCCCATTTAGGCTTATATACGCAGAGGAAGATTTTTCGCAACAAACTTGGCAAGAAACAGCTAAAGGAAAAAGTAAAATGTAAGCCTAATTGAGTTTTGCTCAATGAATTTGAAAGAAAGCGGATAATGAAAACATTAAGTAAAATAAATAAATGACTGTGTAGCTCGCTACTCTTTACACGAATACTCAGAATTATAAACATATCTGTGTATGATTAGTGTTCCAAAGCACAACAGAAAATCTCCAAGCATCTGGCGAAATGTAAAGAGTGTTTTAGTGTTTTATAAGTGAAGGGACAATTTTACAGCGATTTTAAATAGAAGTAAGTAATTACCACTCGATAAAATAGTGCTTTACTAATTAAATTACTCTGTAAGTTCTTTTTTAGTAATACATCACGCTCTTAGTCACGACATTTCAATTATATTAACTTAATAGTATGGTTTCAGTTATTCGTAAGCTGAGGTGAAGCAAGAATTTGGCTGTATTTCAACACCTCCGAATCCAACTCATACATTTTTCTGAAAAATAAGTAAAATGATTAAATGCCTCAGTAAAAATAATAGAACGACATAAATACAGTATCAGTCCAAAGAAAAAATATTATATCATAAGTATGAAGGCACTTTATAATTACTTTGTTAAATCTTAAAGATAATTTGTTAGCACTGACTCTTCTTTCTAACAGAAAGAAAACATCTTGCAATTTTCTGGAATTTTTATTGTTTGACTATTAATCCAAAGTTAAACATTTTAAATGTTATTACTATAAGAATATATCTTATTTGAGATTCTTACACAAAGTAGAAGGCTGGTACATACGACTGACACTCATTTATGGCACTCACATCTGCACTGTTATATGGTCCTTGTCTACTTATGTAAACATTGTAAATATGTAGAAGATTCATTATACCTAAACTATTGTTTTTGTGTATGAACTTATATTACTGTAAATATTTATTGAATTTTTGGGGGATTCAGGAAAAATATCACACTATAGATTTGTCTGTCTGTCTATCCATTTATATATGTCCATAAAGTAAAATTTTATCAAAACAGAGAATAATTTATTAACACGCTTTTAAGTATCAAAGCAGCCTTTCCTAGAGATGATGAAGTTTGCAGTGCAACTTGTTATCAGCGTGTTTCGATAAAAGCTATTTGAAAACACAGGAGTTTATAAAAACTGTGAGAGAACTGTGATGAAATGCGAACCATCAAAGCCTCATTACATTAAATGTCCTTATTTTCCTATATCATTACTAATATGCATTCCATGTATGACATAGGTATTGGAAATCAAGCCAAGTAAATGATATATTTTGTTAACTATATATATGTGTTTTATATATACATTTATAATATAAAACAAAAACGCTGTACAAACAAAGTCACTAGAGCACATGTGGGATATAAGATGTGTCCTGGGGTTTTGGAGATGACCACAGAAGTAGGGCCCACATGGCAGTGAGGATACACCGTCTATCAGTTTTAATCTCCGTTCGCGAAGCCTCACATTTAAATAAATAATAGTAATAGAGTAAATACAAGATAATAAAATCAGAAAAAAATAATAGTAAAAATAAAAAAGGGTAAGAGAGCAAGATTTAGGTGATCAAGCTCAAAACGTCCCACATATACATCCCCCTTCACATACTATAAAAAAGTAGATTTCGACCCCACCCCGGAATTTGTTAAAATAATTGAAGACAAGCTATGTAGTTTACAGAAAAATCAACACATAAGTCGTGAAACTTTACAGTTCCTTTCACCTAAACACCCAGTTCCAGGTCGCTTTACATGTTACCATAGATACACAAACCTAACAATCCCGGTCTTCCTATTATTTCCAATTGCGATATGCCCACCGAGAACATATCCGCTTACGTTGATCATCACATCAAAGATATCCCCCCGTGTTTGACGTCACATATTAAACACACAACCCATTTTTTGAACATGATCTCTGACATTAACAACAAAGAAAAATTACCTCCAAACACCGTTCTCTGCACCATGGACGTTTACACAAACATTCCCCACGACGAAGGCCTGAAAGCTCTTGAATCTTCCCTTTTGAAACTGGACAAACCCAACACTCAGACTATTGTAGATTTAGCTAAACTAGTTCTTACACTTAACGGGTTTGAATTTAATAATGAATTCTATACTCAGACAAAAGGCACAGCTATGGGGACCAAGATGACACCAAACTATGCCAATGTTTTCATGGGAGACTTAGAGACGAGACATTTGGAAGGTTATAGAGACAAACCAAACATTTGGAAATGATACATAGATGACATTTTTTTCCATTTGGGTAGGTGACGAAGACTCCTTACTATCTTTCTATAGACATGCAAACTCTTTCCACACTTCTATTAAATTTACTCTAGATTACTCCACTACTCAAATAAGTTTTTTAGATGTAAACCTGACATTAAAAGATGGTTTTCTACATACTGATTTGTACCGTAAACCGACTGATAGACCACAATATTTACATTTTCAAAGCTGTCACCCTCCACACACCAAACGAAATATTACATTCAGTCAAGCACTTAGAATAAAGAAAATATGTTCTGACAGTAAGAACTATGACCGTCACATTGATTCTTTGAAATTAACTATGACCGAAAGAGGGTATAAACAAAACACTGTGATTCAACAAGTTGACAGAGCTAACAATATTCCACGTGTATCTGCCTTGAAACAGTCACCTAAAACAAATTCCTCTCGTGTTCCACTAGTTATCACATATCACCCAAAATTAAAAAACCTACCCTGGATACTGAAAAAGCATTTTTACCTCCTTCATCTTAATGATAGACTAAAAACTATTTTTACGGAAGTTCCTGTTGCTTCTTTTATAAAAAATAAGACTTTGATATCCCAATTAGTGCATGCCAAAGTTAACTTTAATACGACACCTTGTGGAAGTTATCCCTCCAATGGCAAACGTTGTCAAACCTGTAAGTTCATACAGCAGACTAACAATTTATCTGATAAAGACAACCAAAGACCCATAACCTGCAATACAAAAAACGCTATTTACTTAATCCAGTGCCGAAAATACAACTTCCAGTATGTAGGCCAAACTAAAACAACTATATGGGAGCGGTTTAATAACCACAAATCTTCAATAAAAACGAATAAAGAACATCCAGTTGCAGAGCATTTCAACATGCCTGACCATTCTCTTGACGACATGATACTGACAGGTATAGAGACAAATTTTACATCAAACAGAAACAGGGAAATTAAAGAAGCTAACTGGATAGCACTTTTAAATACTGTAACCCGAATGGCATCAATCTCGATCCTGGAATTGTTGACCATCGAGCGTCTCTAAAAAAATTCCGAATAACTCGTAATTAAGTTTGTAAAGTTTTATTATTATTATTATTCGTGCTTCTATTTCTCTACATTATTATTTTTTTTTCTAACTCTCATCTTCCTATGTATTTAATTTTTTTATCAGTCAAAAGTTTCATACATAATGAAAATTAATAATATTTTTTATGTTTTTTCTCTCTACAAACGAATTCTCCCTTCCGGAAGACTAACTGCTTGAGTTGGGATTGGCTGGTCACCAGATTCAACTCAACTGGGACTTCCGGTTTACATGACGTCACACGTCCTACTATATATATATTTCATTGCACAGGCTATAGGTCATCCTTTGTTCTCCTGAAGAAGAATAGTCAACTATTCGAAAGCTCTTGAGTTTTGGGTCTTATTTTAAGTTTATGCATAATATATTTAATTCTTACTTCTTGATATTTATGTAATATATTTTATATTTATTACAAAATAGTTTAATACATTTATTTAATGTTTCTTTATCAAATCAATTTTATTTTATTTGACCCTCTTATTATATTTACTCTCTTATTATGTTTTTATTTACATGCGAATCTTCGCGAACAAAGGTTAAGGCTGTATCTCCACCGTTATGTGGGTCCTACTTCCACATCCACCTCTAAAAGCCAGGACATCTTATATCCTACACAATAGCCTATGCCATGGTGACTTAGTTTTGTTGTGCAGCATTTTAGTTTAAAGCTTATTTTATACTATAAGTATGCTTTATTTCATCATAGGTTTGGTTTTGCTGTTTGTAACGCAGTCCTTCCTTTTTGATGCAAATATTAATTTAACTGCTTAGATAATGTTTATATTTACATCATATATATACATACTATAAGAGAAATGCGGATCAATAACACAGCTTTGTAACACATCTGAATCGTTTATGTTTCCTTATGAAATACATTACTTTCCAACTTGTTAGTCAAATACAACATGAATTAGATAGCATGCAAACACTTTCCTGCACTTATAATGTAAATGGATAAACTTGATACAGATGGGGTTCAAGCATATTATTATAACAGTTATGACCTGAATCGTTATATCGTTGAGTAAGGCTCATTGATCATTTGATAAGATCGGTTATAAAATATTATATTTTAACCAAACTGTTTGATTGCAAGAAATGCCATTGACATGCAAAATAAAATTACAAAACAATTAACCAAGTTCATTGAAAAAAAAGGTTTTTTTTATATTTAGATAATGAAACTCACCTGTCTGGGTGCTTTATATCATCGTGCAATGATGGGGCTGAATTCTTATGCTGAGGAGAGCCTGATCTCTTAGGCATATCTGTGATATAACGTTCAAATAATAAACAAAACTTGCTTCAGAGAACAAAACTATAACAATTTTCTTTTGTCGTGGTTTTATAAATTTTATATACGGTAAGAAACAAAGTACACAATAGATATGTTGACCACCTTTAGCTGTTATCCTCAGAACGATTATGTTTTCGCGTACTTCGGTGTTATACAACATAATACATACATTTAGTTCTTACATACTCCATTTTCCATCCATTTATAACAAATCATCTTACCTTTTTCTTTAGGTTATCATCTCACGATTTGATAAATAACTTCTTTATAAAATGTTAATTCTGAGAAAAACACTCTTTTCATCATTCCCCTTTAACGTTATTATTAAGTTTGTATATGGTTATTTTTTAACATCGGTACTTAATCATAATAAAATGTGAAAAAAATTATTGTACATTTATATTCGTAAGAAATAATAGTTTCTTTTTAAAAACAATAATCTTCAGATAGGTACATTTATGAATCTTCGAGGAAAGTACTTAACGTAATTGACTACTTATAACCATCCAAATCTTTTAATCCAGTAGATTTTACAAACTAATTTCTAGATTGTTTTGGCTCACTTAAGATGAACTTTTCGGAATAAAAAATAAAATATTTCATTTACGTCATACTACACTACTTATAACCAACCAAATCTTTTAATCCAGTAGATTTTACAAGCTAATTTCTAGATTGTTTTGGCTCACTTAAGATGAAATTTTCGGAATAGAAAATAAAATATTTCATTTACGTCATACTACACTACTTATAACCAACCGAATCTTTATCGGATTTTTACTAGTTAATCCTAGTTGATTTTACTAATCTAAGAATAAGCTCCTGGCTTAGAGAGCATTTTAATTACTTTAAATTACTTATGACCAACTGAATCCTCAGTAGATTTTACTCATCTAGGGAGAGACCAGTGTCATATAAATTGAAAATATGTAAGTTAATCTAGATATAACTTCTTATAAATAACGGAGAAATTAGTAATTTTTCTAGTTAACCCCTTGATAATCTTACTCTTCTGAGAAGAGATCCTAAACAAAGAGATACAAGGTATTTAACTTACTTCCATTTTAATTACTTATGACCAATTACTAGATTTTATCAGCAAACTTCACGATGATTTTGCTCATCTAATGACAAACCCCAGCATTGAATATATGCAACTTATTTCGTACTAATGATTGCCTGAGTCCTTAAAGAAAGAAGAAAAAAAGATAATACCTAGATAACTTCAATGATCCAAAAAACCTTCCCGACAAGGAATATATTTATTTATTTGAAATTCGGCTACTCATGGCTGTTTTTGTTAAGTTTACTAAAGTAATCGTTTGAATGGAGTCCACAACAAAGAAATTCTTTGATGACTTAACTATTTTATGAGTATTTTTATTGAATCATTAGTTTGTGCTTTCTTTCATTAAACTGTACCCCATGTAGCTGAATTTGGATAAGCTATAGTAATACAAGTACATACGGTAAGGTTGTGGCGATCAGATATTAATCGCTATCATATTAAGTAACGTATTCGGTCACCCTTGTCTAATAATAATTAGAAGCTTTTTATTCTTTATAAATAGATACAAATTATAATTTGCTTTTCTTCCACGTTTCGAGTGCTAATCTGTTGTCATTCTGAAAAAGACTATTTCTGTGTCATTATGGACTGGGATTCAATCCTGGGTCTTCTTGACAGAATCTGGCTCATTATTCACTCAAATTTGAAAACACTCAAATGGTTAATTGATCTCCATTTGTAATTGAAAACAATCTAAAATTTTCCCAGGTTGGAAAAAAAGTTAACGAGTGAGAATGTGTTCGAAAATAGTACATTGAATAAAATTACAAGTTCATTCTGAGTAAAAACACTCAAAGTTAATAAGCAAAGTCAGTAAGTAATAACTCTTCAGCTTTTTAAAGAAACGCTTAGTTCAAAGAGAAATTGTAACACTTATAAAATACCGTTTTTTATAGTATGCAAATGCAAATTTGCGATTTATATCTTAGGCACTCAACACTTTTAAATTTAATTTAATGAATGTAATATTAAACTTTATTATATGAATATTTTTTATTTCTAAGCCTCACTCTACTTTCCTAAGAAATTACTTTTAATTGTTGTGTTTTGAATTACACTCTCCACTTTCACATGTTTATAAGAAAGTGAAAGAAAAGCACAGTTTCAATTTCTGGAATAGACATGACCTTAAAACTGAAATAACACTTTCAAAACAGACGGAAATCTTAAAAAAAAAAAGGGAATCGACTCTGAGTATTTATCAATATTTTTACTGTGTCTGTTATTTTCTTTGACAAAATAAAAAGTTTCGCTAACCACGACATGATATGTAACGTTTTATTTTCAAGCACATACCATCAGTAACTGTATTTTTAAGTTCCAAGTAAAAAATGTGCCCCCCCCC